CAGAAAGTCATGTACCCTGGGACAGCAAGTGGAAAGTCTTGCTTGGATTGCTCTGCCAACCTTAGAGATTGCTTTAGTTTTTCTTCAATATGCACACCTTCCAGGGAGGCCCCCAAAAACAAGCACTCTGGCTTAGCATTGATTGGGATAATGTGGAGCTATTTAAAAATAAGAATTGTTTAAAAAAATGTAATAGGAAGCAATCCTTTCCGTACCCTGGGACAGCAAGTGGAAAGTCTTGCTTGGATTGCTCTGCCAACCTTAGAGATTGCTTTAGTTTTTCTTCAATATGCACACCTTCCAGGGAGGCCCCCAAAAACAAGCACTCTGGCTTAGCATTGATTGGGATAATGTGGAGCTATTTAAAAATAAGAATTGTTTAAAAAAATGTAATAGGAAGCAATCCTTTCCAGATTAACACCCACAGTGTTAACTTCCTGCTGTCTGCTCTCTTCCCTTGCTGCTCATCCGGGTCTCCCTTTCAATGCAGGGATGCTCTGTGGTTCTTCAGCACTGCCCTGACCCAGCAAGGGCAGCCACAGTATTAGCAGATATATTCAAGCCCAGTTTCCTTCATGCTTCTCTAATGCAAGCACATTATGATCTGGTCTTAAACTGAGTCTGAACTCAAGCACACTAGTGTCTACAACAATCTCCCCAACAGAGTACAAAATTAAAAAAAGAAATACAGAAGGGACAAAAATGGTGAGGAAAAAATACATGGAAAGAAAGAAGTAAAGCTGCCTTTGTTCTGTCCTTATCATATAAAGTGAGATGAAATATGTTTGCATCTGTTCCTGAGGCCTTAAAACCTTCTCCTCCCTCTGTCTCTCTCATGAGACTAGTGTTGCTTGCCCCTGTACCTCCTGCCAGAAGCTTCTTAATTATTTCCCCAGCCAGTGAAACTGAGCAAGAACACCACATTCACTAAGTGAGCCCCCCCACCAGACACCAACCATGGAGCCTGAAAGGATCAGAGAGGAGAGGTTTGTTCGGCCAAAGAGGTATTCAAGCAGCTCTTGTTGGTGGAGAGAGGAGGAACCCTGAACAAAAAGATCAGACAGAGAAGAGGCTCTGGAAGGGCAAAGCCTGGGGCTCAAGGTGATTTCTGCCAGCGGGGTATTTTGTTGATAAGGGTTGCAGAGCTACTCAGTCTGCCAGGCATGAGCCTGCAAATGGTAAAGCATTCCCTGTTGGCCCTGTGATAATGCCTGTACTATCTAGTTATACAATAAGCCTTAGGTTGTTTTCCTAGACCAGGCAGTGGCTGGCAAAGCTAAAATAAGCTACTGTTGTCTCATACTGCAGTAAAGCAGCCTCACACATAATTTTCTTCTCCCTCCTGATACTTTCCC